GGTGAAACAGGTCGTGGTGTTGCCTGCTTTTGATGACAGGAGTCGTCTAAGCAGTTTGCGGTGCACGTTGCTCTGTTTTGTGTCGGATAGCAAAAAATGAAGTAGCTCATGAAGTAGTGATGTTTCTTGTCAACAATGTCTGTGACTGACCTTTTTTACCTTATTTCTTTCTTACTCCTTTCAGTGCAACTAACACTGTATGGCTGTAAACTTGTATGGCGTGCAGCAGTCGGAAGGGCAGGCTGCAAAATGCTTGCGCAACGTTACGCATAGTGCGTAAATATTATCGAGCAATTATCGAACTGTCATTATCGTTTTATCGAAAAATTATATATCGTGATAATTATCGATATCGAATTATCGCCCGGCCCTAGTTTAGTGTAAGTGTTTTTAGCTCTTTTTAATTTTAAAGAGCCCATATTATACATGAAATAGGGTCATATCTTGGTTGTAAGGGTCTCCAACAACAGTTTAATATGCATGCAAGGTCAAAAAACACTTTCATGGTCTTATAATCTGCATTTATTTTTACCTAATTATCCCAGCGACTCCTGTATGAATCGTTCAGGGATTCATTTGTTCCCAAACCCCTCAGCGCGAAGCTAATCTGCGCTGATTGGACCGATGACAGTCTGTTGCGATTGGTCGACTGCCTTCAGTCAGAGAGTGAAATGCCAAACAGCTAATCAGCAATATAAAAGTAATCACAGTTCATACACGCTCGATAGTGTAGGCGTGGATTTTAGCTGCCAGTGGGTCAATGTAAATGCAGACTATGGACTTGAAAATACAGACGACTGACTATTTTATTGAACAAAAACTCCAAAAAAAGTTGAGGAGATCTCCTAGCTTCTCACTCTGCTCTTTTCACAGACACACACACACACACACACACACACACACACACACACACACACACACACACACACACACACACACACACACACACACACACACACACACACACACACACACACACACACACACACACACACACACACACCTCCGGACGACAGCGCGCGCACACACACAGACACACACACACTTACTCCCCGTCCACGGAGCTCCGTTAACGCAGCACGCGTCGCGTTTTTAACGTGACTTTGCACACGATAAGAGAATATAGCCAGTTAACCTGATACAGTACACTCGGTTACAAGTAACAAATCACAACTAAATACATTTGCAAGCTAGAGTCAACGAGGCAACTTTAATCGCACGTACTTACACTTGAGAAATGGAGGAAGAAACCCATCCTGACGTCTATCAGTAAGTTACTGATCCTTCCTTTAACAAACGCTGATGAAGTATTCTTTGTAGCATGTAGCTTCCAGAAGTTTCCAGTAGTTTCCAACTGCTTGGCTATAATGCTGAGGTTTCATCTTTGGGTAGAGACTCGATAATATCCATCTGCAGTGTGACTTCAATCGACCGGCATGTTTGTGTGCGTGTGTGTGTGTGTGTCTCGGTTTCTGCGTCAGAGGGCGGGGCCTCAGGTTTGAAATCTCCCGGGTTTGCGCGTGCACGTGAATAACTTGGTTTCGTTCGTACGTCATGGCGAAACACCTAATGAATCCGTATCAAGGCGACTCGTTTGAAGCACTATGAGTCGACTCTTTTTTAGATGAATCAACCGTTTTAAACACTGTACACTAACAGATTTAAGCCTTAGCTGGATACTCCACTTCACTTAGAGCTGTGTTACACACTACATGGAGGGGAATTTTCAAAAACCCATAATATGGGCTCTTTAACTCTTGATCAATTTGTGGAAGGTCAACTATGTGTGTAATCTGGAAGTTGCTAACACTCGTGTGTTCTCTGAGTGTCTTCATCTTATGTATGTAGTAGAGAATATGATGCTTTGATTCCACTTGACATCTCCTTGCTGTACATTTCCACGTTTTTGTACAATAAACGATGTATATTCCTGCCTTGCTTTTATTTAATACAGGAAAACTTCACTTGATGCGGGTATTCATAAGAAGGCATTGATATGAAGTAGATTTTTTTGCATGCTTATTACAACTGTTATTAAGTGCCATTCACTCACTTGGCATTTTAAAAGCAGAGGTGACTTCACATAAACAAATACATCATAAGCTGTCTTTGTCATGACAACTTTTCATTTCCTGTCAGAAGAATGATTGTCATTAGGCTATTATAATGATCATTACATTTTTCTGATTGCTTTGGGTTTTTTTTTTTGTTTTTGCTTTTGTTAGTAGAACAAACTAAATTTGTCATTTAACTTTTCTTATTAAGTTTCAATACTCTGTCAAATCATATTATAACAGCACCAATAAAATGCAAGGACATTTTATTGTCAAATGAGCAGTATAGTTGTGGTCAAGATAAATATTAATGATGCTGTTATAAAATTCATGGTACCATTATTTTGGCCTCATGACAATCATGTTTATTACAGATTTATGGAAAGTTATGCTGGCGTGATAATGTTATCATGAAATAGATATCTCAAACAATGCCATCTTTGCATTTATAATGACATAACTAAAAGAATGAGATGAAATAACTGTTGTCATTAGCATGCAATCTCATTCATATTCAGATTAATGACAGTTTAATTTATAAAGGTTTCATGATCGTCTTATGAATACCCACGTCAAGCAAAGTGTTAGCTTTTAATTATTTTTAAATGTAATTCATCCCATTTTGGCTCTTTACAAGCAAATTGTAACACTGTTTATATTTGTACAATGACAATACAATGAATAGACAGTCTAGGACATTATTTTATCAGGATAGTGATAGTGATTCATCAGTGATGCAATATTTCATGCATCATTTTGATGCAAGAGACTCAATAGGGGAAGTGTAGTAGTATTTCTTAAGAAACCATTTCTTATTTGTCTAGTGAGGAGACTCCAGAGATGAGCTGTAGTCATTGTAGATCAGTAACTTCTTATGTTATCATATCATACAGACTACAGAAGATCATGAATGGATTACAAGAAAACCAGCTACTCAGCACACAGGAAACAAGATCTACAGGTCATCAGAACTGAGTGTATGGGAGGTGCTGTGGTGGAAAATGCCAACACTTATGTTCAGCTACAAATATGGCTTTTCTGAGAAAAATTACACATTGAGTTGTTGGCGCAAATTTGCCTTGTTGCTTTCTACAAAAAACTGCATGCCTTTCACAATCGACGCTTCAATTTAACACTTTTTTGTAAGCACTCAGCTGCCATGCATATCAGATGATAGATGGGATGTAAACGTTTGGGGGTTAGCGAGATTGAAAGCGGTAAAAATAGATGTTGTGGTTGTTCATAGCATCTTCTTATTGTGAGTTAGGATTTCTCAGACAAACTCAGTGCATTTTTTTTTTTTTTCTATTTCTGTCAGACGTTTGGTTTCTCATGAAACTCACTGCAGTTCTAGGTGAGCTGTAGAAATGAAACTCCCCTCACGCCGTGGCTCTTTGAGGAGATAGGAGAACTGCATGTTTCTTTTGTGTGTACACTGTTAACAGCGCATTTTGCACCCTCACGCAATATGCTTCACCATTGCAATAACGAAGGTGCTAATGTCACATTAAGTAGGCTAAATATACTTTTGAGCACATTAGAGTCTTAACTATGCAGATGCTTTTACTCTGTAGCCATTTTTTTCATTCTTACCTTGTCTTCCTGTCTTTTCTGATGATGAGTCTAAGCCCAATGAACTAATTTCTGGCAACTGGCAAGTTTTCAAGAAATGAAGCTCACCCGACTTGCACACATTGTAGTGGTTTGTGTGTAATCGGAAATGATAACCACAATGATTACATGGGGACAAAGGTGAAAAGATCCCCCCTTTATGTGGTTTTAGATGTGTTTCATCTAGTCAGTTTTCAGTGCTGGGTCAGCACGTACATCTCTGGCAGATTACACAAAGAAATCTACTTTTCTAAGATTTTTAGAAGAAAACTTACCACAGCTGCTTGTTGCGTTTTCTGTTTTAAGTCCTCTGAAGTTGAGCTGAATATGCTGCGACTTGTCAGATGTTTAAAAATTATTTTATTTTATTATTATTGTTGTTGTTGTTTTTATTATTCCCATTGTTGTAATTATTAGTAGTATTACATTAGAAACACTAACAAACCAAGAAGACAAGCTAGTTCTTCATGCCCACTCTCTGCATTTATTTAATTTCAGAGAAGGCAGGGTGTCATTAAAGTCTTAATTTCTTACTTTCTAAATCACAATATTAGACTTTAAAATGTATTAAATTCACCAAATTATTGTCTTGTAGGTCTTAAATAATTTTAAACAGGCCTTAATTTTTCTTTGTTACAACCTTTCCCAGTACTAGGTTGCAGCTGGAAGGGCACCTGCTGTGTAAAACATATGCCAGAGTAGTTGGCAGTTCATTCCGCCGTGGCAAAAGTCAAAGGAAAATGAATGAATGTAAAGCTACCTATCGATCCAACACACAACAATACATCTCAATAAAATACTTAGCCAACCTACATTCATAACTAATATTTAGTTTTCAAAGAGTTTTTGAATAGACGCTAGGGTCTGCTTGTTTTCACAGATTGTTTAATATATATTTAACGAATATATATATATATATATATATATATATATATATATATATAACATACATACATATATAATATTACGAATATGTTTTACTTATATTATGAATATATAAAATATAAGAAATAACTATTTAGACTTAGTTTTTTTTTGATGGGGCAATACATATTTTTTCTGCTTGGCCATTTAAAAAAAGTGTTTGGTCCAATTCAAGTCTGATTTTTCATTCTTCATGGTCTTAAAAAAAATCTTAAAGTCTTACATTTGTCTTGGTGAAACCTGCAGAAACCCTGGAAGGATAACCTGTGTCATTTTTTCTCACTTTATCTTTTCTTAATAGCCAACAGGTTAACAAGCTAAATATTTATATATTATTTCTCCACCAATCCAAACTTTGTGAGGTGCCTGCTAATTTTTTTGTGTGTGCATGTGTTTTTGTTTGTTTTGTAGTATGGACGGAGGTGAGCTCTTCAGTCGGATCCAGGATAGAGGGGACCAGGCATTCACTGAGAGAGGTACTGTTTTCTACTCTCTAATGCGGAGTTCAGACTGCCCAATTTTGACTCAGCAACAGGTTTTGTGAAATTGTCGACAAATGCCTAAAATCACAGGCAAAAATCGGTGCTCGTTCACGTGAGTAACAATCACGTGCATACACCTATGGGTATTTGGCGTGCTAAATATCTGGAGCTTCAAATCATCTCGTGTGAAATGTATTTTGATTAAAAATGGCATCGGCGATTACCTACAGCCAGAGAGCAGCATTCACAAGTGTGGGTATCTACAGGCTACGGGAAATTGGGGAAGAAGTTTAAAGTGCTCATTTTTTTAAAGTGCACCCATGTCTGTTTGACCTTGCATCTGAACAATATCCACAACGTGGTCAAAAAATAAAAATAAAAAAAGTTTGAGAAATTCCTCATTCCCTTCAAACCCTGGTGAGGAAATTGAGTAAATTTACTACCCCACTAAAGGCTTCTTTCTCATTATGTAGTTAATAACAAAAGATATACTACGTGTCCTCACATTGTTTCCATGCCACTTCTCGAGTGTGTTTGTCTCGGTCTGCAAACTACATCTTCCATCCAAAGTTGTTGGCGATTCTTCCTATTTTAAATACATGCAGTGTATAACCCCCTGTCGATCTATTTTGCAGTGTAAACACAGCAACAACTGTGAGACCAGTACTTTTAATTTAAGCAGTCTGAACTCGGCCTAACTTTGCGAGGCTTATGCGTGTACATACATGTTTAGAAATGACAAAGTGATCATTAGGCCAAAATAATTGATTATTTTTTTTGCCAATTTGTTGTTTGTTGTCTGTACAGAGGCTTCTGATATTATGAAGAGCATAGGAGAGGCCATTCAGTATTTACATGCGATAAACATCGCACACAGAGACGTTAAGGTATGAGTTTTAAAATGACTTTTTTTTTATTTGTTTTTTTTTGTCCTTAACTAATTATGTCTGAAAACTCACTTTGCAGCCAGAGAACCTTTTATATACCTCTAAAAGGCCAAACGCCCTTCTCAAACTGACAGACTTCGGATTTGCAAAGGAGACCACCACACACAACTCTCTGGCCACCCCCTGCTATACTCCTTATTATGTTGGTAAGAATATCAGAATCATTGAAACTTAAGTGTCAGTATTTAGATTCGTTCCCACTCATGAAACTTTTCCATTGTTAAGTATTTTCATCTTTTCCATGTTATAGCCCCAGAGGTGCTTGGTCCAGAAAAGTATGACAAGTCCTGTGACATGTGGTCTTTGGGTGTCATCATGTATATTCTGTAAGTGAATTTGTCTCATGTGTTTTGCTTGCTTGCATCATTTTGTTACTGTCTGGGCCTCTGTTTTAATGCTTTTCTCACTCCTGACCGTAGAAAATCTGTCTGATAGAGCTCAATTCTCACTTTATTCAACCTCCAGACTCTGCGGTTACCCTCCTTTCTATTCGAATCATGGATTGGCAATATCTCCTGGTATGAAGAAACGAATCCGAATGGGACAGTATGAGTTTCCAAATCCTGAGTGGTCGGAAGTGTCAGAGGAAGGTATATGTCAAGTTCCTGTTTTCTGAAAGAGACTTGAGAAACCGTTCCTAGAATGCTGTTATCTCAAGTATTGAAGTTTTGCACATTTCTAAGAATGATTATAGATTTGAATGACTCATTCTTCTTATTTATAGCCAAGCAGCTTATCAGAACATTACTGAAAACGGAGCCAACACAGAGGATGACCATAACAGAGTTTATGAACCACCCTTGGATCAATGTGAGTGTCAAAACAAATTATTTAATGGCCCCTCTGCTGTCTAGACATTTAGGTGACATATGGGCATTATATTTACCTTACCATGTTTTATGGTTCTTTAGCAATCAATGGAGGTTCCACAGACACCCCTACACACCAGCCGTGTTTTGAAAGAAGAGAAAGACACATGGGAAGATGTCAAGGTGAGGTCTCGCTCAATAAATAAAGCTTTATGTATTCTAATGTCATTCAGATACAAATTAGATTTTCTTTAAAAATTACCCTATTATGCTTTATAAAAGCTCATAGTTTGGTATAAGGGGTCTCCGACAACAGGCTGATAACATAGCAAGATCAAAAAACACTTTCATTGTCTTAAACTAAGCATTTATTTTTACCTGATTTCCCAATGTCTCCTATGGGATTTGTTCAACAATTAATTTTTTCCAAACCCTCCTTGCCCTGATGCTAATGTGTGGTTATTGGTCTAATGATCTGTTGTGTTGTGATTGGCCTACTGCATGTGAGTGGTCAGTGTTTGTCTGAAACAAAACATTTACCATGGCTTATCAAGACCGTGTTGAAGCAACAAGAAGCCATGGTATGGAGTATGTGTGTGAGCCCAATGCAGGAATGTATTAATAAAGCAATGCAGGTACACTGGCATATTGCTGTTTCAGAGTTGTCCAAACTCAGTCTTTAGGGGTTGTTGTCCTGCATATTTTAGTTCCAACCAAATTAAACGCATCTGTACCAGCTAATTAAGCTCTTTTTAGGTATACTAGAAACTTCTAGACAGGTTTGTTGAAGGAAGGAGTTAAACTATGCAGGACAGAGTTTAAACACCTCTACTTTGTTCCTAACCATAAATCCAAGTAATAACAACAGTATACACACAGTATTAATGGACTCAGACAAAAAAATAGTCATTTTGAACATTGATTGTGGTGGGTGGGAGCACCATCAAACCATTGAAATGAAAACGAATTGGTTCATAGCGCAGTGTTTTCTGTGTCTGGTGTAAACGCACAGCTGATGATGTCCTCTCATCAACAGACAACAGACCTTTTCTTTTTGTAACCTAAGCGGCATTCCTTCCATTTTCCACACAGGTTTAGATGCAATACATGAATAGCCTCATTGCCAGTTCACTGAAGTGATATAGTTGATATTGTTATACAAGCTGCAACCATTTTAATTATGATTCAGAGTAAGAAAAAGCTGGTCCAAAAACTGACATATTCTTCATGTCTATGTCTGGTAAAGCCCTATGTAATATTAAATAAATAATCATTGGAGCTGATCCTTCCTTTAAATAGCATTTGGACAGCAAATTTCACAATGACATGCAATCCCATCTCCTGCGATGTGGTATTTGAGGAAGAGGGGTACGTGTTTTCCTGGGTCTATGCATGCAACAAGCACCAGGGCAATGTTTTGTCCAGATCAATAACAAAATATTTAAACAACTCGAAGTCGACATTTTTTTTGGTTTTGTTTTCATTCACTTAGCTGTGTTACACACTGTATGGAAGGTCATTTTCCAAAACCCATCATAGGGACTCTTTATTGTTTATGTCTGTGTTTTACAGGAGGAAATGACTAGTGCCTTGGCAACAATGAGAGTCGACTATGAGCAAATCAAAATCAAGAGGATTGAAGACTCGACCAATCCGCTGCTGATAAAGAGGAGAAAGAAAACCACCGTAGCTCCTGAAAACGAGACTCCTGCTTGTTAAGGACACATTCGCACACGCACACACACAATTTGTGTTGAAAAGTTCAGTTTAAGGAAGCAATAACTCGGTGGAGTTTAAATTAGTTTATTTTTTAATATTTCCTTTTAATCACTCAGTCTCTGTAATTAATACATCACTTTGCTACCAAAAGAAAGGGGCTGTACAGTTCTCATACAAGTCTGTACATTTTGTGAAGCAGCCAACATCCACTAATTTGCTCCTTAAAAATGTTCACGTACTGTTTTTCACATGGTGTTCAATGGGTAATCAGAAGTTGTTATCCGTCTTTTCTATTTTATTTTATTTTTCTGTCCTTTTGTTTTAATCATAAGCCATTGGTACATGAGTTCATAAGTGTCACACACACCACTGTTTGTTTTAATGTCCCATTTTCAGCTACTGGGCAGCTTGTATAGTAAGTTTCCCGGTAGTAGAATGGTGGTTTGGTTTCCTTTATTGTGGTCAAGTTCTAAGGAGTGTACATGTAATGCCATCTTGCTGTTCGTTCTTCATTACATTAGCTTTTCTGCACTTCAATGCTCTTGAAGAAAGTCTAGTTCCAATAGACACTGTCAGTACAGTGTCTGGATGAAAGTGTATTTTTTAATGACTCTGAATGTAGACGCGCTCTGTTCTTTACTGTCTGTCAGTATTGTTCTGGGTCCTGTCAAGTAAAAAAAAAAAGATAATTTTTGAGCTTTAGATCCAGTTAGCCTTACTTGGTCATCAGAAAAAGAAAGAAAATCATTTTGCCCTGATTTCACATTGGCATTTGATCAGGCTTATCATGGAAAGTCAGTCCAGCGAATTGTTTTTGGCTTAGTTCATGCTCGATGATATGCTTATTGCACACGGTTTTGAGTGCACAATGATTTGCCTTGAATGGATTCTATGCATATTTGTTTCCAGCTAGATTTTCATCAGAGATTTTTAAAGAATGTTAGCCCTTACTCTGGCATTTTAAAATCCAGATACCTAGTGAAATAATCAGTAGATATAGCCACCACAGTAGGCGAAGCCCGTTTGTATTTTTTTAAGTGTATAATGAATGATGAATTGGGCTGTCTGTGTAGGTGATGGTTGTTCATCTGTATCTTCACAATGCCAGTGTATATTTGTTAGTGTTGTCCGTTTTCCATGCCTACCATGCAGTAAGTGTTTGAATAGGAGCTGCTTATAGGTACCAGGTGTTTGATAAAGGAACAAAGAAATGCCCCCTTTGACTTGATTCTTCGAGTTCTGGAAATGTTTAGGGGATACAGGGAATCCTACGCATCCAACGTACTGATTTTAGCTGCACTGATAGATGTATGCTGAAAGGTTTGTTTTATTTTTTCTATATAGTCTTTTTTTAAAACTGTATATTCATATTTGTTGTGTGATTGACTCTTTTTAATAATGATTTTAATTCCCACAATCTTGAACATGCAAAGTCAGTATACTCCCAAATGACTTCAGTGCCCTTGCACACAATGCATCTTTCTGTCTGCAGTTTCTTTGTAATTGTCACTTTGTAGGAGCTTCCCCTTCCTTCATGCATTTGTTTCTCGAAGCAAGACTACAGTATCAGCCAAGTTGAAAAACAGACTTGAATTCCCACATTTAATACTAACAGGGAAAGGCAGGTGTATGTTCTGTTTTTAATGTTTAACTGCTGTACCTATGTCTTGGTTTGCTTCAACTTTGGATTAAAACACCAAAAAGCCCAAATGTCTGTCTCATTCAAATGAGTGTATCTGTTTAGACTGTCATTCTTAATGTGAACTATGTTTGGTCAATTGAGTTCTTATCTTCCTAAGCAAAGCAAGGTCTAAGGGGAACATACACATCCACTCTTCATTTATAATTTACTATCTTGCCTATTCACATTATTCTCTTAGTACAAGCAGGCGCAGCCATTTGAATCTTTTTGGCTCGAGACTTCCGGTCTTATTTACTCATATTCCATTTATTTTTAGACGTTAATAATGGATTGTTTTGTTGCTTGATGTTTCAAACTGATATTGAATTATTATAATATATTATTTTGTCTGTATAGTCATTCAAACACTTGTTTGTAGAGCAAGTAATTTGATCGTTTTCTGATGTTTATTATTTCTAGTCATTTATCCCATAGGCAACTGAATCGGAACTTCTAAAACAATCAGAAAAACTAAGAATAAGAATAACTAATCAAGGTGATCAAGACTACTATGGACTATTAAGCAGGTGTGAGTTGGTTGGAGCTAAACTAAGAGCTGCGGCCCTCCAGAAATCAAGTTTGAGACTATTGCTTTAAACTATTTTCTATTTTTTAATAGGAGAAGATAATTTTAGTTCGACCAAATGTATTAAAAGTTTAAAATCATGCTGCAAAATCATTTTATGTTTTACATTTGACAGATTTTCCACAAATAACAGACTGTTTTATACAAGAATGAAAAGGTAGATGTGATGTGGGAAAGTTTTTTTCTTTTTCTTTTTTTTATTTTATGTTTTGAATTTAATCTTTGAAATGAATCAGTCCAACAGATCCTAATCATCATTAAGCGACCAAGTTTGAGTTTGAATTGACTGGAGTTGTTTAAATGAACCCTTTTCACAGACTTTTATGATGTGTTTAATTGAATTTTAAATCTTGAAAGTTTATAATATATAAATGTTTTTTTTAATTATTTTAAATGTATATACATTTTATGTATTCATGCATGTCTTACATAATCTTTGCATCAAATTACAAAAAATGAATTTCCGCTTGTGCTAGTTATTTATAATGCAGCATAGGGGGCAGGGTGGTAAATTGTATCGGTCTCACATTTTTAAACCATTGTGGAATTTTTCTTTTATTATTTAAGCAAATGTTATTGTAAAAAAAAAAAAATCACTGTGGTTTAACTTTACCCAACTACAACTTCTGCTAAGAAACCCGGAAGGGTTGTCGCCTATTTCCCGCTCAAACTCATCCTTACCCTTCACCATGCTCTAGTGAGCCGAAGACTATGAACGCAATCAGGTGAGGCGTCAGTGTATAGGCTACTCCAAGCTTGTCAATTAATATGGCTAGCTGAACCCCTTGAAGATGATTAACAAGCTTATGTATTCTTACGTTATTCACTTTTAAATGCTTAGCCTTGACAATGCCTGATAATTACCAACAAAGGAATGGAGCAAAAGTATAAAATATTTTAGCAAATTAAGCAAAATACGCTTAGGCTAGCGTAATTTTTTTTATATTAATTTATTTTTTTAACATAGACTATAACATAGACATGTTTAGTAGCTTAAAATGAGTAAACTACTTCCACTTATTCTCTTACTAGCTTTCTTAAAAGGTTGTTGGCCACGACAAAAAAGCTGATTAATTTAAAAGTCATCTTTCTGAAATACTATTTACTGCTGAAAATTGAAATGAACGCCTGCCACTATGATTAGGTGACCGTAAACGTAGACAATGTGAACATAGCCCACTGAGTCACACTAATGTTTAAGAAATTATTCATTTTCATGTTCTTAGTATATCATCCACGAAGGGAAATTACCCTTCTTAGTTTGCACTTCCACTTCTTCCCCTTTTTGTCCCCCTTAACAATGGCTAGAAATTAATAACTGAAAAATGAAACTGTTGGCAAAATTTGTCATAGCCTACCATTTTCATTAAAACTTGCAAGACTTGGTTTCACTGGAACAGAATTGGCTTATGTTATCAGTTAAGTCTTAGGAAATATCCAGCAGAACTGCAAAACAACTCTCATTCGATAGAACTGAAAATATTTAGATTGAAAACTAGGGTGGGCAGTGTGGTTTGAAATAATATTTAATATAATATTCCATAAAAGTTGTTATAAACAAATGTTGTAAAATAACCAATAACTTTTATTTTATAATGAACCTCTTAATTAATATTAATAACTACTTTAAGAATGTTTAAACAACAGATCGTTTTAGTAAAAAACTAACAAACTTAGAAGTTGGTTATTGCAAGGAAATTGAAGAGCTCATGTTACTTTTTTTTTGCATAATATATATATATATATATATATATATATATATATATGTATATATATATATATATATTTTTTTTTTTTTTTTTTTTTTTTTTTTTATCACGAAATTCATAGGGGCCCTAGATTGTTGAGCTGGTGGTCCTTTTTATTTACAATGTTCTCATCTCCAGGCATTGCTGCAGCTACCTCCACAGCAATTCAACATATTAGCTGTTTGCTTCTTACACTAAGCATTCTCCTTCAACAAGGCATATGATAGGTTGTTTATGGTCCAGTGATGATGCAAGCTTGAGAAACTTTGTGTTGGTTTGCACTGTTGATATCAAGAAAAGTTTTATAAATATGCAGTAGCTTTGGTACTGTTTTATTGCACAGTGCTTATGGTAACTAGCGTGTAATGCCTGTAAGTAAAGAATTTAACTATCAATAAAAATAAGTTAATACATGTATAATATTACACTTTACGTAAATTGGACCAGTTTGTAAAAGAGATGGAAGTGGACACCATTAAAATTTATTTTGGACAATCGCGGCATAATGGGTATTCTATAGCCGTTTCGTGATTTTAGAGAACAGTACAAAGTGCATTATCTTGAAATATCGAATGTTTATTTTTCAATGTGGCATTGATTTCAGACAGCAAGGCTTGTGTGAGTGTTTCAGTTACTGCTAATCTACTGGGATAAATGGGAAATTTAAAAGAAACAATCTCTGGGGCAAAAAAAACTCGTGTTTATCCAAGGGGTTAGAAGTGAACAAACTGGTTTGAACTGAGAAAAAGGAGAAGGTTACTCAAATATCCAGTCAGGGTATGCAAAAGAACATCTCTGAAGGCTTAATTGCAAACATGAAGTAGATGAGCTACAGCAGCAGAAGAGTACACTGGTTATATTTCTGTCAGAACAGAAAACTGAGGCTAAAATTTCTGACCATTTCTGTAGCAACCTTTAGAATGACCAGTCAGAATTTGAGATAAACACCATGAATGCATTGAACTACCCTGCCCCCTTATCAGTGGTTCACATTGGTGGTGGAGGAGTATAGTATAATAATGTGCAATTTGAGCATAATTTGAATGTTACAGTTTCTTGGGGATCCCCAGGTGGAACAAAATAGCATAACTGCTGTTCATAATGTATTTGAACAAGAGATATTAAATATCAATGTGACGATGAAGTGCTATAATTGAAAATAGGAGCTAAAAAAAGAAACCTATAACATTACCATATTTCTAACAAAATGCCTGGTGTAATATGAGAAGAAGATTGTGTCCTACAAGTCAAGCCCACTCACCTGCATGGAGCACACTCACGCAATCTACAATTATGTAATGCATTGTGTATATGCTTTATTAAAAAAGTCTTTAATCATATTTTGAACTGAGAGAGTGTGTCTGATCCTCGAACATAATCAGGAAGGCTATTCCAGAGTTTTGGAACCATATATTAGATGGCTCGATCTCCATAAGTGGACTTTGCTATTCTAGGTAATACCAGAAGCCCTGAGTTTAAAGATCTTTAAGAGCGAGTTGGATTGTAGTGAGACAGAAGGTTGGTTAGATAACAGGATCTAGATTATTTACAGCTTTATATGTAAAGCAATATTTTATAATCAATACTGAACTAAACTGGCAGCCAGTGTAAGTTGGGGTGATATGATATTTTCTTGACCTGGTAAGAACTCTGGCAGTTGCACTTTGCACTAACTGAAGTTTGCAGGGCAACTAGTGAACAGAGCATTACAGTAATCCATTCTAGAAGTCATAAAAACATCAACTAGCTTTTCTGCATCTAAGATGGATAGCATGATATACGTCATCAAGATATCGCTGAGCATGGCCGCCATGTTGCGAGCTCCCAGCAAACTTTGTTGTGTTTTTGTTGTTTTTCATGCTAGATATACACACTCTCATTACCTACGACAGACACACTCTTCGTAAAATTGTCTTCCTCGTTGCACTTTGAAGACCGGACTTTGAGTTCTTTAATGACGCTCTGTTTACAAACACAGCAACAGAGCCCTTTGTCTGGGTCACACAACCGAAGCGACGATGGAAACGCAGCCGGAAAAGAGGAAAGAGAGCCGGCGTCCTTGTCAGACAAAGACACCATGGATTTCGACCTCCGCCCCCCACCATTCTGCTGGCTAACGTTCAGTCACTGCACAACAAATTTTGCGAGCTACGGGCGCGCATTTCCTTCCAACGGGAAACAAGAAACTGCTGCATTATCTGCCTTACAGAAACCTGGCTATCTGCGGAGGTACCAGACACAGGTGCCGAACTTTCGTAATTCTCCATGCACCGCGCGGATAGAACGAAATAACTCACAGGGAAAAGCAAAGGAGGAGGTGTTTGTTTCTTTATTAACAACTTATGATGTGATGAGAGTAACATACACCCAGTTAGATCATTTTGTTCTCCTGATCTAGAATATCTTATGCTTTGATGTCGACCATACTGGCTACCAAGGGAGTTCACAGCAGTTATATTTACGGCTGTGTACATCCACCCTCAAGCCAACACAGAGCAGGCACTCATGGAACTGTATGGGAGGATAAGCGAGTAGGAAACCGAACACCGGGAGGCAGCGTTTATTGTTACAGGGAACTTTAACAACGCCAATCTCAGAAAAATCGCTTCAAAATACTTTCAACAAATCACCACAAACACGCATTTGTGGCTGTATTTTGGACCATTGCTACTGTCCATTCCAGGATGCCTACAAA